TATGAGGAACATATAGTAAGTACAGTGTGGTGATCAGATGGAAAAAAATGACATCTTTTTAACTCTGGGGATTCAGTTATCTATAGAAACAGGAAAGTGGCAACAGTAAACAAATATTGTCCTAGAAAGACTTGTATAGATAGAAGTTGCTGAACCAGACCCTTAAGTTTTCCACATGCAAACAGTCATGGTCAAAAATATTGGGATCCCTGCGTTTTTGTCAGATAATGCACCACTTCTCCCAGGAAATTGTTGCAGCCACAAATTCTTTGGTATTCTGATGTTTCTTTCATTTTTTTTTTTTGTTTGCACTGAAACAGCGCAAAAACAGAGGGGGGGAAAGCCAAATCTGATTATTTTAGAACAATTCCTAATTACACAAGTAGATTTTCTAAAATAGAATAAAACATTTTGCACATATAATACTCTTTTGCAGTGAGCAGCTGATTCAGTTTCAGACAGTGTTTCCAGGAATTACTCTGCCTGCCGACTAAGAATTATTTATTTATATGAAATTATAACTTTATTTTTTGCAGGGAGAATGTTTGCTTCTAATTAATTGTGCTCTACCAAAACATTAGGGGGTGACCCAGACATACAGACAAGGAGAAAACTCAAAGTGCATGGGAAATGTTTTTATGATACCTGCCATTTGTCGGATGGCTTCTCTAGTTACTTTGATTAAATTGTGTAGTGGTGTAATCAAAAGTGAAAAAGCTCTAAAACATGACATCATAGATTCTCTCTGATTATCTTCACAGTCTGTTGTGTATTGATAATTAATTGTCTTAGAGCAATCATCATTTGAGTAACATAGTCTAAAACTATAATGATGTAATCTTAATATTGTTCTCTAGAAGCATTTATAATGTATTTGGTAGCAGTTATAGGCCTGAAGGAATTCAGCAACATTCAGATGAGAAGAAAAAAGTATAAACAGGAGAAGGAGCTTCTGAAATATCTGTTACTGCTCATTGCAACTCTTGATTGGGCTTTGATTTCAGTTCACTCATCGAACAAGCTGAAATATTGATTACACCATGTTGACTTCAAGCAGCGCTTGTATTTTCACAAACAAGTGACTACATATCTCATTTCTGTTAAGACAGAATTAATCACAATTCATTAAGGCATTCTGGCTTTTCTGAAAATAAATGTTATGGAGCAAATCTCCAAAATCCAATGAGTATACTATATCCAATCTGACATATATGGTAACAAAGACAGTCAGGTCTGTGTTTAGTATTTAAGTAGTTACAGAAATATAACTTAGTGTCTAATGGATTTTTATTATAATGTGAAATATGACCTTGCACAAGACAGTGTTAAGATCTGGAGTAATGTTACAGTACATAGTGGAGCCAGTTGAGTAAGTGGAAATTTTATGTTTTAAATTCAAACAGGGTCTCCAAAGCCATACACAGTGAGTCCTTTTTGGATCAAAATGAAAATTGTGTAGAAGCAAAAGATTTTAAGTGGTTCAGCTGCAACGAATGAGAATATAAAGATAAAAAGAAGGTAACATCAAGGTGTATGAGGAACATATAGTAAGTACAGTGTGGTGATCAGATGGAAAAAAATGACATCTTTTTAACTCTGGGGATTCAGTTATCTATAGAAACAGGAAAGTGGCAACAGTAAACAAATATTGTCCTAGAAAGACTTGTATAGATAGAAGTTGCTGAACCAGACCCTTAAGTTTTCCACATGCAAACAGTCATGGTCAAAAATATTGGGATCCCTGCGTTTTTGTCAGATAATGCACCACTTCTCCCAGGAAATTGTTGCAGCCACAAATTCTTTGGTATTCTGATGTTTCTTTCATTTTTTTTTTTTGTTTGCACTGAAACAGCGCAAAAACAGAGGGGGGGAAAGCCAAATCTGATTATTTTAGAACAATTCCTAATTACACAAGTAGATTTTCTAAAATAGAATAAAACATTTTGCACATATAATACTCTTTTGCAGTGAGCAGCTGATTCAGTTTCAGACAGTGTTTCCAGGAATTACTCTGCCTGCCGACTAAGAATTATTTATTTATATGAAATTATAACTTTATTTTTTGCAGGGAGAATGTTTGCTTCTAATTAATTGTGCTCTACCAAAACATTAGGGGGTGACCCAGACATACAGACAAGGAGAAAACTCAAAGTGCATGGGAAATGTTTTTATGATACCTGCCATTTGTCGGATGGCTTCTCTAGTTACTTTGATTAAATTGTGTAGTGGTGTAATCAAAAGTGAAATGAACCCATGCTCACTAATGTCAAAAAAGGATATGATTACAACTGTATTCAGACGACATTGCGGTGTTGAAAAAAAATAAAAGATATGAATGAATGGGTTGGAATGTCCCTCTTCACCTGACAATTTCTTAGTCACATTGAACACATAGAAGAAGATCGATTATGACAGATCAAGATCCTGCTCACCACAGTTTAGTCATATCTGTCATCACCATTTGGCAGCACATGGAAGTACTTAGCTTGTAAGTGTGGCAAGTGTATTTCTGCATGTTGGTATGAATTCCGAGGGTTGAAAAATGTAAGACCTCTCTGAAATTTATGTTGGCATTAGTTTCCATGAGTGTGTAAATTATGCAAATGCTTGTAACCAATTTTTGAAAATATTCTCAATCATGACCAAATGCAGCCATTATGTAGCATGAATATCACCTGCCACTGGCCATTTAGTCAAACTCTGGTGAATGGTACAATCAATGAAAACTTGAACTGAAAGTGAATACGTTTGTTTGCATGTACTTGCTGTTTATTAGACAGAACAATTGTGCTGATTTCACCTCACTGCAACTACAAAGCCTTGTACAGCTAACTGCACTGCATCATTCCACCCTAGCTATGGACATTTATTGAAGGAAAGGAAATTAGCTTTCACTGCAACCTTGAACTTCTCAGTTTCTCCACATCTCATCAGCCCTCTAGATCCCCAGGGACAATGAGCTACAGGAATCAATGTTTTTTGCCACATGACAAGAATTAAGACTGGAAACCATTACTTTTACTGGCACTAAGTGGCTATGAACAAGTGCTGCTATGATTCTGTTAAAGGGAGCTGCCTCCTCAAGTGGACAGCCATGTAATTTAAGGGAAGCCTAACACAGTCTTGATTCTGCCTTATTAGGTAAAACTCCTTTTAAGCATTCAGTCCAACATCTCGTGTCACTTGTTACTTGTTCCAACTATTCTACACAACAAGGGTGGTGGTCTGTGTGTGTGTGTGTGTGTTGGGGGCGTGATAATAAAAGAAAGTAAAATATAATTGGCTGGTCTCGTTCACAAAAATAACTGATAAGGATAGTTGGTGATATGGTGAAATCCGTTCAAGTTATTAATGATAACATAGAGGATAATTCGCAGTGAAGACACTGAGGCATTTGGCCAGGTTGCTAAAACAGGAGTCAATCTACATGTTTAGCACTGCATTACACACACAACAAAGGCAGATGTTACTTAAGAGGGTGGAATGTAGTAGCTATTCCACATTGTTTTCAGATATTTAATGTTGTCAGCAGTTTTAACATACTGTCCGCTGACTGGGCAGGTTACAAAATTTGGGTTAATTAGTTAGATTTTCCAGACCTCTAAATATAGCTGTCCACATCTCAATTTTTTTTTTCAGGTCAGCACATCTGAGTTTGCTTTTATTGTGGCTAGGAATTTAATGTTTCAACTAACAAAGAGTTAATTTTCAACAAAGAAAAGAGAAACTGCAGATTTTGGTTGTTTGAACATCGGTCTCTACAGCCTGTGAGGTAGAAAAACAACATACAGGTTTTGACAAAGACTAAAAAATGGCCCAGGCTGGAGAAAGTAGGTGGGAATGAAGATGATGGTGGCATTGATGAGGGTCAAGCTAAAAGGAAGAAAAGAGAATAAACAGTTAATTGTGGGCGAGAAAGCATTTTGTGGTGCCTATCCCAGCTGACATTGGGCAAGAGGCAGAGTATACCCTGGACACCTCCTCAGTCTACAACAGGGCTGACACACAGAGACAGATGATAATTCACATCACATTCACACCTGCGGGCTATTTGATCACATATTAACCTAACCTGCATCTACGGACTATGGGAGGAAGCTCGAATCCCTTGGAAATAACCCACACAGGCACAAACAGAACTTGCAGACTCTACATAGAAAGGCTCCATTTGGCCAGCGGTTTCAAATTCAGAATATTCTTGCTATGATATGGCAGTGCTTGATAGCAGCAATTTTTAAACTGCATCTGTATAACTCCTTCCACAGATCCCAGTAAACGATTGTGCACTAGGCCTCAGAAGTGGGACCACTATTAAAGCTGTTACTGCTACTACTACTACCTGACACAACACAATGCCGTGTAACCTTAAGGATGAGGTTTATCTATCATAAAATGCACTAAATCAGAAAACTACTAAACTGACACAGTTCTTCCTAACTAAGCCTTTGTCCAAATTTCTGTCAGGTGAGCTGTAGTGAAATCTAAAACAAGCTGTCTATAAGACTTTGCAACTTTTTGAAAACTACTGAAAACATTAAGAGTGAGTTAAAAGAACAATTGTTTGTTGAAACTATGGACTTTGAATAAAAAAAGACCAAAAATAGTGCAACAGCATGAGCATACCTTTTCCCCTGGCAGTACCTGTAAATAAAGTTTTATTTGCTAACCAGATTAAACAAATGTTTGTTTGTTTGGGTTTTTTTGCCTGGTGTTATTTGAGCACTGGTACAAATATTTTGCTGCAGCCATCAGTTTTTTCCCTTTAATATGAATTACTAAGATTAAGATTATTCAGATGTTATTAAAGTTGGCGTCAAGATTCAATTTACTTTGAATGTCAATTAGTAATTGTGGTATGATAGCTCCCTTTTGAAGTACATTTCCCTCTAGTGACAGTTATTTATGAGTTTATTTACCTTACTCACTGTTATGCAGTTCTTTGTGTAAATATTAGTACTGTACCTTTCTCCATATGATGTAAATGTTTTTTATTTCACCAGATCATCAGTGCACTGGCGACAGCAGAACATGTGACCAGCACCTGGAGGGTATCCCAGAGTTCACATGGAGCATAGTTGCAGCTGGGGACCTTCGTGAGAAAAGGAATGAGAAAACCAAAGAGATGGCGGGAAGTCCTCAGGGTTGGGAGGAAGGTAAGAATGAAGGTATCACGTCCCCCCATTGTAGGGGAATTTCAATTTTCAACAAAATTTCTCAGTCTATTGCTTCTCATACAGTGATATTCTCTGCTCATGTTGCACTTTATAAAGAATGCATTACCTATTAGCTTTTGAACACCTTTTTCAAGATGTCAGATTTGTTGTGGCAAGCTATTTTTGTGCTGTGCATTATGGGGTACCATTAAATCAAGGTAGAAGCTTAACACTAAACAGGCACTATAACATTCTCACTTTGGTTACTAAACTCACATTTTTGGACCAACACAAGAGTGTGCCACATTTGCTGAGGTGCTACTGTTAGAAAGTTTTCTCAGGTAAAGAGCTGTATATACAGTAGTTTACTCAACCAGTAGTCTGCAACATTTTGTAGGCCCCTGCTTGCAAATCTTCCATATCCTCCAGCATCATTAAATACCTTGTAAGGTGAGAAAGTAGTTGTCTTATCTTGTGAGGTGATGGTGAAATATAGGGAGGCAGAAGAGCCTATTTTCTTAAATGTATTTTTTTTTTTTGTATCATGAGCGACAAGTCTAAGACCAGATGGGTGATCAGTGCCTATCCTGTATATTTAGTAGAAGTTATAAATGAATGCAGAGGATGTGTGCATGCATCTGTGTGTGTGTGTGTGTGTGTATTGGCTCAACTCAGTGGTTAGGGCATCAGTAGCAGTGTACATATAGAAAGTCACTTTCGGCTTTTCCCGTTTAGGGGTCACCACAGCGAATCGTCACACTGACAACTCGCATGTTGACATTCGGCACATGTTTTATGCCGGATGCTCTTCCTGACGCAACCCTGATTCGAACGCAGCGAGAGCGCTGCGCCTTAACCACTAGTCTACCGGGTCTTTCTCTTCTTCCTGACCCTGTTAAAGTCATGCATGCATAAAGTACTGGGCAAAAGTCACTGTTAGAATTGTTGTTTTAGCAATGTTATGATGACTATATATATTTATTTATCAGAATACAACTAGAAAGTATAGGAAATGTGTACATAGTATTAAAAAAACACAATGTGTGCGGCAGCCTCTCGTCATCAGTGTGTGAATGGGTGAATGTGTATGATCTCCTGTAAAGCGCTTTGGCCAGTGTAACACACTGTGAAATATGTGCTATATAAGTACAGTTCATTTACCATTTACCATTTACAAATGTCAGATAAAAAAAATTGCAAACAAACTGGATACTCAAGATGTGGTATTAAGCTGTTCTAAAGAAATCTGAAGAATCCAGAGAGGACAAGGACAAAAACAGGAGTGGACCAAGGAAAGTGTCAAACTAATGATAAGTTTCTCAGAGTTTCTTTTCTGAGAGACTGGAGGAAACCTGGCTCAGCATCTGGCAGCTTCATTTGAGTGCTAAGTTGGTCCTTCCACAGTCCAAAGCTGCTTGATCAGGAGTGGCCATTGTAGAAGGACAGCACCCAAAAAAACACTTTTTCAGAAGGGGAGGCCGGAGAAAAGGCTGAGATATGTAAAAGTTCACAAATATTAATGATCATTGAAAAGTAGTCATACAGAGTGATGAATCCAAGTTTAATTTTTTCAGGTCCAATTGATAATCACCTTTATTTGGCCAAGTATGTTACACACAAGGAAATTGTTTCCACTACAGAACCGAGGAAGCCATCTGCAGCGCCAACTCAACCGATGGCTCTAACTATCGGGGGCAACTTGGGGGTTCAGTGTTTTGCCCAAGGACACTTTGACTGCAGGCACCGAGATTCAAACGTCCGACCCTCCATCTGGGAGACAACTGCTCTACCCACAGAACCACAGTCACCCCATGACTGTTGACAGTATGTGAGAAGAAGAGTTGGAGAGAGGAGGAAGAATGAGTGCTTGGAGCCTTCAGTGATACATGGTGGAGGGTCTGTCATGGGTTCAAGACTTCAAGACAGTTTCCCCAAGAGAATTCAAGCTGTGCTCAGTGCAAAGGGAGGTCACAATAAATACTGACCTTGGACAGTAGAAGCCATTTTGTTCTGAAAAGTTTTTTTTTTTTTGATATTGTGTACATATTTCCTGTATTTTCTCCTTATGTCTTAATAAAGAGACTGAGAAATAAATATAAATTATCATTACAACCTGGCTAAAACAGTAAAACTAATGGTGGCCTAAGACTTTCGCACAGCACTGTATGTGCAAAAGAAAAAGTGTTTAAGATTGAATGATTGAAGGTAGGTGATGCAGAGTACAAAGGAAATACATGTGCATAATCATGTTCAAGGCCTAAGTTAGCCACAATACAGTTGTGTGGTGAATAATTGAGCTGGCTGAGCTGCTGTCTCCACACATTTCACTGGCACTTGTGATTTAAAAGGAATGGAAATAAGGGATGAATACTTAATGGCTGTGATCAGTGGAATTGCTAAAGTTGTTTTTTTACAGGACCTAAACCATCTACAGTAAGATGTTCAACATTGAAGCTTGCAAACAGTATTTGTTTTATGTTGATGTAAGCTGTCAAGCCATTGAGGTTTGACCAACACAAGTCCAGCTGCCATAAAGGCTCAGATTCATCCCCACAGAAACTGTCTGCTATATTGGATTCGACCTTATCCTGTAGATCCCATCAGGCTTTGGCTGTGATCAAGTGACCAGTTTTGTTTTTTGATGAATGTGTGAAATGTGAATGTGTGCCCTTCCTTGAACCGGCACCTTATTGTGGTGGAGGGGTTGGAGTATCCGAGTGATCCTAGGAGCTATGTTGTCGGGGG